ATCTTAAAAAGGAGAGACATCACCTTGCCAACAAAGGTCCGCATAGTCAAAGCTATGGTTTTTCCAGTAGCGATGTGAGAGCTGGACCATAAAGAAGGCTGACCACCAAAAAATTGATGCTTTTGAATTGTGCTGGAGGAGACTCTTGAGAGTCCCCTGGACTGCAAAGAGAACAAATCTATCCATTCTGAAGGAAATCAACCCTGAGTGGTCACTGGAAGGACAGATCCTGAAGCTGAGGCTCCAATACTTTGGCCATCTTATGAGAAGAGAAGACTGATGCTGGAGGAGGCTCTTGGGAGTCCCCTGGACTGCAAAGAGAACAAATCTATCCATTCTGAAGGAAATCAACCCTGAGTGCTCACTGGAAGGACACATCCTGAAGCGGAGGCTCCCTGGAAAAGACTTTGATGTTGGGAAAGTGTGAAGGCAAGAGGAGAAGGGGACAACAGAGGACAAGATGGTTGGACAGTGTCATCGAAGCTCCAACATGAATTTGATCAAACTCCAGGAGGCAGTGTAAGACAGGAGGGCCTGGCATGCTCTGGTCCATGGAGTCATGAAGAGTTGGACACGACTTAACGACTAAACAAGAACAAAAAGTTTAATCATACTTTCCAGACTACAGTGTTTCCCAGTTGATTAACAGGAAGTGCAGCCCAGGCTGACTCAATAACAGTTCAGACTTCTTGGAAACCACAATAGGTCACTGAGAATAAAAATAACTGTGCTGACTAATGAAATGAGAGGTTACTTCATACCTGGTTCAATTAATCTAATTAATCCCTCATGATGTGCCACTTTATCTTTCCAACTCTTTGTCTTGCTTGCTGCTACTTCCAACTTCTTTTTCACCTCCTAGAACAACAGTAAATATATATAAACTTTAATAGTAAATAAATACAAATGCTAAGCATAAACAATTAAAGACCTCTGCTCATTCTATAGCCAAAAATTCTTAGTTTGTAAGGGAACTCCTTTAAAGACTAAAAAGGATATAGCCTTTCCATACGACAATTTGAGTGAACAGCTACATCAACCTGAAGCAAGAAAGTCACATACATCCATTAGAATTCATACAAATGCAAACACGTATATAGATACAGTGGTGCCTCGCTTAACTTGCAAATGCAAACACTTATATAGATATAGTGGTGCCTCGCTTAATGAGTGCTTTGTTTAACGATGAATTCGCTTAGTGATGACTTTTTCGGAGGATTTTTGCGTTCCGTTTAATGATGTTTCCTATGGGTGATTTTCGCTTAGCGATTTCGGGACCATGCTTCGCATAACGATTAGGTTTTTTGGTCCCGTTTCGCTTAACGATGGTTTAAACAGCCTCATGTTTGCTGTTTTTTAAATGTTATAAAGTTAAAGTTTACTGTGTAAAATGTTTGAAATCATAACGTGCACTTAATAAACCGTTTGTTAACCAAATTTGACTTTGTTCTGATTCTTTTTTAATTTGTTGTTGAATTTTTTTCCCCCATTGAGATGCTCTGAATGGGTTTCAATGCATTTCAATTGAGGAACCACGTTTCGTTTAGCGATGTTTCCTATGGCAATTTTCGCTTAAGGACGGCAATCTGTTCCTATTGGAATGGATTATCCGGTTTTCAGTGCATTTCAATGGGAAACCGCATTTCGCTTAGCGATGTTTTCCCATAGCGGTGATTTTTTTGGAAACAATTAAAATCGTTAAGCGAGGCACCACTGTATTTGTACGGCATGCAAAAGATCATATGAAAGTGTTGGCAGATCCACACAACTGCCAAATGAAAGGATGCCCCCAACAGATAGAACTGGAAGTCATCAATATAAGCATGATTTATTCCATGGCTTTTATATGGCTAAATCTTCATGAAGGCTCTGAATCTACTCCTCAACTAGTATTTGAACTCAAATCTCTAGTCTAAGTGTATACACACTGTTGGACAACACAACATTTAATTCTAATAATTCTCAACATAAAAGGTAATTCCCTCTTAATGTCTTGCTATTAGTTTACACGATGCAAACCTATATGGACATTAACGACAAACATTATTCTATGTATAATTTGCCACATAGAATTCAAACTGGGCTAATGCCAGGACCACTGCAAACTCCCAATGACTTATGGCAAGGATTTAAACAAGTAGCTCTTAACAACTCTCCAATGCATTTAGTATAATCCTACTCTGTCCAATATATTTAGTTTAATCCTAGAGATGTCTAATACAGCAGATGTCAAACTGAACTAGCTTACCTCACACTGCTCAAGGGCTTGCTTCCTGTCCATTTCCAGTTGCTCTAACTGCTGCATGGCAACTTGAAGAGCATGTTCTTTCATCATTCTCTGGTTTTCCAACTCTTGTTTCTCTGCTTCAGTGACCTGAAGGGTCTGCTGTTGCTCTAAGTGCCATTTCTCCAGTTCTGCTCTCTTGGTAGACTCCTCTTCCAGTAACCTACAAAAAGTTCATACACACTGAGAAGCGTACACATCAGGAAATACACTATTCAAGACCTGACAGAATCTGGACCTCTTCTTCAGATGGGCTAAGGTAAAGGTAAAAGTTCCCCTTGACATTTAGTCCAGTCGTGTCCGACTCTAGGGAGCGGGGCTCATCCTCAGCTCCAAGCCGCAGAGCCAGCGTTTGTCCGTAGACAGTTTCCATGGTCACATGGCCAGTGCGACTAGATACGGAATGCCGTTATCTTCCCGCCGTGGTGGTACCTATTTATCTGCTCGCATTTACATGCTTTCGAATGGCTAGGTTGGCAGAAGCTGGAACAAGCAACAGGAACTCACTCCATTGCATGGATTCGATCTTACGACGACTGGTCTGATCTTGCAGAACAGAGGCTTCTGCGGTTTAACCTGCAGCGCCACCATGCCCCTAGATGGGCTAAATAGCAGCAAAAAGATAATCTAGAATGAAAGCCTTTTGCTTTCATGACCCTTTTTGGCTATCATATTTAAGGTTGCGAAGTGATCATTTCCCCAACAAGATTATCTGCTACTTTTTGATTTTTCATTATCTTGCTTATTCTCCTGAATTCACTGTAATAGTTTTTTTAAATTTTTGCCCTGACAGACCTCTGCCAAAATTGTGTTGCTTAGTATAGTAAATTACACTAGACTGGGTCCACTGAATTAATGGGGGTTTAGAATAAACCATACATTCCATTTATTCAAATGGGCCTACTCTAATTGTCATTTCTTTTATAGCATGGTAGTTCATTGTTCAAGTGGCCAAACTGAATCCATGGAATGTAACAGAGGAATTGACTCACTAAATTCCATTTATTCAATGGACTTACTCTAGTGCAATTTAATATGCCAAGCAGCAAGATTCTGACCCTTGTTTCCTATCATTCATGCTGTAGAATGCCAGAATCAGGAGTAGGCATCCTTCAGTCTCGAGAGACTATGGTAATGTCCTCTGAATAGAGGTCTTGGAACAGCATCTAGTGTGGCTGAGAAGGCCAATTCGAGAGTGACAATCCCTTCTAGAATCAGAAAAAAAGGAAACAACCTGTTACACAGGTTCAGGGGCAGAGGAACCTTGCAGTGCAGGAATGATACTCTATACTTGTTCAAGTCTTTCATTTCATTATACAAACGGCATGTGAACGGGAGTCCTTCTACCCAGTACTGTATGTCCTGGGATTTAGCCATAATGCTATGAAATGACATACTGACCTGGACTGAAGTCTCCTGACAGTCTCCTCATCTTGACGTGCTTGTTTCTCATCTTCCAAAGCTTCCTGTAGCTGTTTATACATTTCCTCAAGTTCCTGCACTCTTTGTAAATACTGTTCTAACTCAGATGACTTCTGGGCTACTTGTTCTTCCATTTTCTGTCTTACCTAGAAGTGTAACACGAAGAAATGTTTTCATCATCTTTCAGAGCAAACAACAGCAGTCCTCGTTCTCTGAGAAGGAGAAATTCTTCCTCTGTCCAACAAGAACTGTCCCTGCACTTCGATGTCTCAAAGGTTTTCTACTCTTTGTTCTTTTCTTTTTCATCCACATACACGTGGGTCATAAATATCTCACTACAAATGAACAAACTAATTACTTACCATCTTTTCTCTCTCCAGCTCAACACTGAATCGGTCTTGCAACTCCATTTGAGTTTGCAGGCGCTTCTTCTCTTCTTCTGAAGCTCGAGATGCAGCTTCTTCAAGTTGCTATAACAGAAAAGAAAGAGAACATTCAGGTGTCTCTTACTAATGCATGTATACGCACTAGTTATAGTTTATTATAGTTTTACATCAATAGTTTATTATACAATTTTAATGTTATTGTATTTTCTACTTATTTTATTTTTATGCTATTGTGTTGCTAAATGCCCTGAGAAACTATTATTTTACTGTAGGTTACAAATCAAAAATAAAACCAAAGAAACTGTTTCCAGCCAGGTTGAAATAATTCTCAGGATTTAGAATTATACAACTGAAAGACTGGGAAGAACCTAGGGGATAGTAAATGAGCCTACATTATGGCTACATTCAAAACATCCCAAACCAATTAAACCAGATCTGTACAGTACACTAAATAGCAAAGAACAAATGGGATAAAAGGTGAATGATCCGGTGGTACCTGTCAAGCAGAAAAATAGGATTAGATACCACACCAAACAAGGGAATAAAACAGTACCACTTACCAAAAATAATGCTCTATTATATGAGGAAAGCCCTAGCATTATGTGCAGACTGCAGAAATACTGGACATCATATGCTCACACAGAATACTGAGGTCAACATTACTTTGCCAATAATGGTTGGAAACTAGAAAGGCTGAGATAAAATGCTTCTGTGTTTGTACATAGGAAGGTCTGTTTTCTCCTTCTAGCAGCACCCTGTTGAGAACTGCTATTTACCTGGGAGACTCTTTCACACACATCTCAAACTTATGCTGTCAAAGTAAGAACCTTGCCTATATTACACAGCAAAAGATAAAACTTTTGGGGAAGTGGCCCCAGGTTTAAAGCAAGAAAACCACAGAAAGTTTTGACATATGGCTAACCATTTTGGCAAGGAAGTAGTATTTTAAAAATACTTGTGCAGTTACAGCACTTATGCTGATCCTGAATGGCCTACTGAATAAAATACCAGGTCAGGGAACAAAAGAGACTATAGGGCTGAATGGAATGGCCCACATCACCTTTCCTCTGAAAGAATCCTGTGTGTATATGCTCAATTTGATCGTGAGTCTGCATTAAATGCCACTTATTTAATACGCACTTATATTCCTGTTTGTGAAACCCTGAGTCTGTGGGTATCACATTGTTTTTTAAAAATGTAACATGCCAAGTTCCACCAAACAGCTCAGCAGCACTCCTTAACACAACACAGATTAGTAAAAGATTTTACTATTCTAAAACTTCAAAATATTGTGCCGATACTTTTGACCTGTCATGACTCACTTTCATTACTGGCTTGTATGTTTACTGCCACTATGCCAAGTTTGTATTCTGCTAGCCTGGATATATTTTTTCCAGAATCCTTCTGCCTTCCATCAAAACTACTTTAAACATGCAAAGAGGGTGATATTTATATTCATCTACATTTTATTCATGTTGTCTGTCTGAATGATGGCTACAATTATGAAGATTTCATTTGTTTGTTTCATTCGTTAGACTCTCCTCAGACAGCTGTAATCACCCTGAGCTATGTCTATAACAAACTTCAGTTTGGGAAATTCTCTAACAGGTTTGACAACTCCTGTGATCAAGCCAGTAAGGCTTAAGCAGCTTTTATTTAAAACAAAAGTCTATTATGTTTTGTCTACTGTATATCCATGCATACACAAGGAAAACTAAGGAAATGCAAAGGACCTGAGACTTTTATCCTCATCCAGGTCTGCAAATTTCCTTCATGTCGAACTGTATGCCTGGCATCATCCAGCAAAACTCCTCCCCTTGACTGCAAGACAACCAAAGTAAGCAATGTTCAGACTGCTGGAATAAACAGCACAACTCTTCTATGTAAGACAGAGCTCCTCAATCAAAAAAAACAGAGGGGCTTTGTTACACAACATTTTTTTGTTTCAAACAACAATTCTTATTTTAACAGTAACTGTACAGCACTGTCAACTTCCTGGGGCAATACAGTCCTCTTTAAAACAAAAGTTATAACTTTAAGAGTAAGTTTCAGATTAACAGAGAGGAAAAATATACTCACTTTTCGGACTGTCTCCAGTTCTTTTTGTTTGTTCTCATTTGCCATTTGCAGTTCTTTCATTTGCCTCTCCAATTCCTCTTGTTCGGCTTGCAGCTTCTGGCGTAATGCTTTACGTTTCTGTCGTGCCTCCTTGTGGGGTGGAGGGCTGTTTAATTTTAGTAAATTTATAGTCGTCTGAATGGCTGTTTGCATTGGAAGGGGAAGGCGGTAGTGTGAACAAATATACTCTTATTAAGGAATCAGAACAGTTTTCTTGTTTCAAGACCAAAAAGTTGTTTGTCACAATTGTTAGCTTGGAACCTTCAATTTCCATTATGCCCCTTAGCTCCTGTTAGAGGCCACTGGACCAGGATTACCCATTTTAATTACCTACTAATAAAAATTTGTTCAGGTTAATTTAAAAACAAATGAATTAAATATTTATATAGTAGTACTACAAAACTGAAATAGCAATATGAATACAATACTCTTCCTAAATAAAAAATAGTGGCAAAGGTTGAACATTTAACAACATGTAAAAAATTAGGTATGCTTATACAGTGGTGCCCCGCATAGCGACATCAATCCGTTCCAGGATTAACGTCGCTATCCGGAAACATTGCTAAACGGAACAAAAAACCCCATAGGAACGCATTAAACCCTGTTTAATGCGTTCCTCTGGGGCAAAAACTGTACTCTTCCTAAATAAAAAATAGTGGCAACAGTTGAACATTTAACAACATGTAAAAAATCAGGTATGCTTATATATACCATACTGTGGTATGATAGCCTGCCATATTTATCCTGACTACAAACAAACTGCTTCACAGCTTATTAAACCATGCCAGCAAGATGTAGCAGCAGAAGACTGATAGTTGCAACACACATTTAGTAAAGACTAGAAGGGAGCTATGCTATGCAGGAAACGGACAGCTGACAAGATTGCAGTCTAATAGAGCCTCACTGAACTGAATTTCTTTAGGCTGCACTGAACGCAATGGGGCTTACTTTCAAGTTAATCTATGTATTTAGAATCTAAGTGTAGAAGAGAATTTGTGGGGGAGTCATGGCTTAATGGCCGATTGCCGGATTTGGAATCCAGTTGAATGATTCTAGGTAGCTATTGCTGTAACAGCCTGGGATAGAGGAGTGTCACTGCCAACCAAAGGAGGCAGTCCTGCACTAGAGAGACAAAGCAGTGCTCAGGCTCAGCAGAAGACAAACTCCTCATGGTCAGTTTCCCAGAAATGTTAGGCAGGCACACAAGTAGCAGAACTCAACACACTGCAACACCAATTAACAAAAAAGGGACTTGCACTCTACCATATGGAGGACTGGAAATAGGATAATAATTTTTAAAAAAATTAATATAATGACATGACTCTAAAACTCTGAATGCCAGGTCACCTTGTAAGGGATGACTATATCTAAATCTGTTGGCCTAGGGCACTGCAAGAGACTTGAACCACAGCTCTGAACAGCAGACATGCAATAATACAGTTGCCTCTCCCATCTTCCTCCCAGTTCTTCCCATGCTCACATTAAAGCAGACCTGGGCAAAGTGCGGCCCGAGGGCCACATACGGCCCGCAAACAGCTCCTGTCCGGCCCACTGACAGTTTTGAACATCAAAACCATGTATAGCTTTCTGTCTAAAGTTGATCAGTTGCTTATCTTTAACATACCGCAGGGGTCTCAAACATGCGGCCCGGGGGCCATTTGCGGCCTGCCAGATGATAGTTTGTGGCCCCCCACCTTGCCTGCCCCCCCGAAGCGCCCACACATCATCTGCTGTCAAGAGTCAAAAAAGCCTTGCCTCGCTCACTGGCTCTCTCCCAAGACAGCGCCTTTTGCACTCTCCATCCAGAACTGCAACCAGCCCATCTGTCTGCTGGCTGGCAGGCTGCAGTTCTGGATGGAAGGTGCAAGAGGCGCTGTCTTGGGGGAGAGTGAGGCGGCTGCCGGCCCTTTTCCCCGAGCGCCCAAGCTGCCGCTGCGCAATGCCTGAGAGCGGAGCTCGCTCCTAGCCCGTCCTCGAAGAGCACTTCCAACAGCGCCGCCAGGCTTCCTCGGGCTCTTGGCGGAAAACCTGATGCAGCCCAGCCTCACCCAGACTCTGCCTCCAGCGGCCCCCGGGTAACTTGAGTTTGAGACCCCTGACATACCGCAAAAAAACTCTTTAGTATTTGTGAAGATTAACAAGGGGGGGTGGCAGGCCTGTCTCCCATCTTCCTCCCGGTTCTTCCCATGCTCACATTAGAGCAGACCAGTTCAGATTTTTCATGGGGGCCCTCTATAGAAATTAATTGCCACCCCTGCATTAGAGAATGGGCCTTGGATGTTTGGAGCTTAGTGTCTAGCTTTGTAAACATTAAAAAATAGCAAGGAGATAAACAAGACAGAACAGCTTTCCAATTCTACTTGGCATTTTCATTTCCAAAGGCCATAATTGTCTAAATTTGTATTATAAAAACAAACAGTCTGTACCATCTGTACTTCTCAAAGGCCAGCACTCACCACTGGAAAGCATGTGGGTCCATTATGAACTGATATAATTATAGCCGAAATGACATTCATACCACAAAAGTCAAGCAATAGTTTATTTTTGCTTTTTGCTGCTTCTACAGAGGTGAGGAGGTAGAGAGACAGAGAACACCCACGTAAAAGAAAGTGAATTGTTTACTGTGTCAGGTTGCTGCATTTTATTAGCTCTTTTGACTTTTATCATTTGTGTTATCTTCAAAAGTATATTTCTTACTAAACAACATGAAAAGGCATTGCTTACAGACCCTTTTGCCAAAACACTGTCAAATTCCATGCCAATTAAAAGAGACCCATCCTAGATGCAGTTGTTGAAAGGAATATTCCACCCGTGTTATAACAATAGTAGTCTGTTAATAGTGTTTTTATTAAAACCAGGTGATAGATGTATTTTAGGGTTGCTGATGCTGAAATCTCTAAGAAACTATTTTACAAAGAGCAGAATCAAAATCAAATAAAAACTTCTAGACTGATTTAGAAAACTGGGCCATCTATCCAGGATCCATGCCTATGAGTTAACCGCCAGTGCTGGCAATTTCATGGGCGATATACAGAATACAACACAACCTCATAACAGATTATTACATTATCTCGCTCTGCCCATGCTTGTAATTTTCCAGTTCTGATTGAAAACAGACATCTATGCTTGATGATGACCATACAAATAGGTAACAATACATAAAAGGTGCTAGTAAGAAGGTAGGCAGAACTACTGTATCATTCTTACCTTGAATCCATTCCTGTATCTTCTTCTTATCAGAGGCACTTATCTCATAACCCTTCTCATAACTATTTATGAGAAAGAGACACTTCCTTCCATCTTTGTCAGGCAAAGCCTAATAAAATATTAGTTCCATGTGAAATATATGATATAGAATTGCATGGATAGGCACAAAAATGCTTGTAATTATAACAGTTCTATCAGTGGTTAATTCAACAGTTCTATCAGTGGTCCTTGGAAAAAAGGGACCCTCTGTATGTATATTGAAGGCATTAAAATATACCACATATACCAATCAGATATTTCTTTCTTTCTTTCTACCTATTTACCTACCTACCTACTTACCTGCCTGTCTGTCTGCCTGCCTGCCTATCTGCACACACACACACACACACACATTTCTTTCTTTCTTTCTTTCTTTCTTTCTACCTACCTACCTACCTACCTACCTACCTACCTACCTACTTACCTGCCTGTCTGCCTATCTGCACACACACACATACATACATACATGCTTTTAAATGCTTTTAAACTTCTATTTGCCATTGTTTACAATGAAATAATTTAGTCATAACTCATGGAAAGGAAAGGAATTGTTTATACGTCCAATAAAATTATGCACACATAATTTTTAAGTATACAAATTCATAAAACCTGTCACTCTTAATACACTTAATTTTTTCAGACACATAAAGCACATTTGTTCCAGTGGAAAGTACACATCTGCAAATTATTAGAATAAACCATAAATGCAATCAATCTTCTTTACAGAATTTTCTATAATGGGAAGTATGTATAAAAATGTTGATTTTTGCAAACATTAAATGCCCCAAAGTCATCCAAAAGACTGAAATCATTAGTAAAAGAAATGTACAAATATCTTGAAAAATTCTATTCCAATGTGCACTCTAACATTTCATGTTTCTGGTTCTTACCTCTACAGTACAGTTGTCATCCAGTGCGATATCTCCTCTTTTGTCTTTTAAATCTTCACTCACATAGTATGATATAATATTAGGTTTTAAAACAAACCAACGTTCTGTCCAGTTTTTCCTTCTGTGGCCCTTCTTCCACATATAGCCCTGTAAAATCCAAACAGGTTATCATTATATTAGAATTTCTGGATTAGATTTCTGATTTGAAATACAAACACATTTAATAAAAATGTAACATTTTTTTCAATTAACATAAATTAGATCCTGTAATATAATTCAGGGGTAGGCAAATCTGTGAAGCTCCGGATGTTTTAGTCCCATCAGTCCAACCAGGTGAAGTCTGAAACATCTGAAGAAGAGTAGGTTGCCTAACCCCAGTCATCTTTGCAAAATCAGAATATGCATACCTTTTTTTTCTTTCAGTGAAAAGGTTTTAAACTTTTAGGCCACCCATTCAGGAATGATTAGTATAGGATTGAGTTTCGGTAGGCAAATCTGTGAAGCTCCGGACGTTTTAGTCCCATCAGTCCAACCAGGTGAAGTCTGAAACGTCTGAAGAAGAGTAGGTTGCCTAACCCCAGTCATCTTTGCAAAATCAGAATGTTCATACCTTTTTTTCTTTCTTTCAGTGAAAAGGTTTTAAACTTTTAGGCCACCCATTCAGGAATGATTAGTATAGGATTGAGTTTCCCCTCTACCAATGGCGAGGAGGACAATTTTCAACCTGCACTCCTACTTGCTGGAGAGCTCTGTGGTTTAGATATCTGCCTGAGGAACCACAGGTTGGGAGTTCAATTCCCCAATGTGCCTCCTTGGAAGGGGCGGGATCCCCTAGGGTCCCTTCCAACTCTGCAGATCTAAAATTATTATTAGGATGCACAACACAGTAAGGGAAATGCAAATTCACTTGCATTCAGTTGCTGTAAACTCACACCAGGGAATTTGGATCTGTGGGATTTAAGTGACCACATAAAAAAGGGACCCTTTTTTCTTTCTTTTTCTGTTTGTTTGCAGTTCTGTGGGTGGTTAGGTTATAAAGAACTGCCTCACAAACAGTACAAGGCTTCCTATTTTAATTTCCTCATATAGTTAACTTGTTAGCTTTTAAAAAAAAAAACACACAACACTCTTGCCCTCTGAGACAAGCTCCATTTTTAACCTGTAAAACAAAACCCAGGACTGTTGCCCATGGAGGAGGAAGAGTGTCTTGGGAAGAAGGCTTTGCTCCCTGTCAGTTTGTGCTGTGTGCTCTGTGTGTGCGTGCGCGCCTTCTGCCAGTAATATGATTTTATCTACGTACAGTGGTGCCTCACTTAACGATTGCCTCGCAAAAAAAAACACACACACACAACACTCTTGCCCTCTGAGACAAGCTCCATTTTTTAACTTGTAAAACAAAACCTAGGACTGTTGCCCATGGAGGAGGAAGAGGAGTGTCTTGGGAAGAAGGCTTTGCTCCCTGTCAGTATGTGCTGTGTGCTCTGTGTGTGCGTGCGCACCTTCTGCCAGTAATATGATTTTATCTACGTACAGTGGTGCCTCACTTAACGATTGCCTCGCTTAATGAGGATCAAGACAGGCACTAGAAAATGGCTGCCGTATGGAGGATCTTCACTGGACGAGCAGGTATTCAGCTCATTGGAACACACTGAACGGTTTTCAATGCGTTTCAATGGTTTTTTAAATGTCGTTCGATGACATTTTCGCTCTACAGCGATTTCGCTGGAACTAATTAACGTCGTCAAGCGAGGCACCACTGTATCTTACATTGTTGATGTTTTTTCCACCAATTTTCATTCCAAAAGTGTAAGAGAAGGAATAATGGAATATAATCCATTAGTTTGAAGGGAGAGTGGAGAGAACACTATTATTAACATTAAAATGAAACACAACCAGATTGCTGGGTGAATGTTCATTTTTTAAAAAAAAGAGTTAAAGTGAGAGAAAGTTGTAATAGAATTAAATTTCCCAAATATAAAAGCAGTCAACACCATGTCTACTTGCCTCAGTAGTCAGAAAACCTCAATGAAAGAAGGAAGTAATCATGGAATATAATCCATTAGTTTGAAGGGAGAGTGGAGAGAACACTATTATTAACATTAAAATGAAACACAACCAGATTGCTGGGTGAATGTTCATTTTTTAAAAAAAAGAGTTAAAGTGAGAGAAAGTTGTAATAGAATTAAATTTCCCAAATATAAAAGCAGTCAACACCATGTCTACTTGCCTCAGTAGTCAGAAAACCTCAATGAAAGAAAAAAGCACAAGGAATGTTAAGGGAGGGGTTTTCGAATTACAATTTAGGCCAGGACTGGGCACAGTGAAGCCCTCCAGATTTACAGGACTGGAACTTCCTAGGAACCCTAGGCAGAGCCCAGCCAATGGCAAACAATACTGTCTAAAAATTTCTGAAGCAACACACTTTGCCAGCTGCTAGTTTAGACATAAAATACTCAAAAAGTTCTGGCAAGAGAGAAATTTGTGACCTAGAAGGTTGTATTCAACCCTATGGCATATGATATCAATCTGAATTATGTTTTGAGTGAACCCATCGAGGGACTTGGAATTAATGAAAGGGGGCAAGTCAATGGAACACAAAGGGAAATACCCCCCTCATCAAATGCCAATGTATCAACAGCTATCAATCAAATGTGCACAATCATTAACAGTCACTAAAGTGAAATTACTGCAAATTCTCCCGTTCCCCACCCCACTCACACCACATCCTCCACTCATGCACCTGGACCTCTGAAAAGATTCTCACTTCCTCTTTATTCTCTCACATGGTTGCATGTTTCAAGTGGTATTCAAACGTAGAGGTCAGTGTTAAGAAACTATGGAGTTTTTACAAAATACTGCATACTTTGTGTACAATCTAAGTTCCACCCAATAGTATCCAAAGGAAATTCTTCCAGACTTGCCCACCCTGTAATGTGGAAACACCTCATCCTCATTTTGTATAAATTAAAATGTGGTTGCCAGCATGTTAGCTAGAAGCATGCTCCAACTCACTCTAAGTAGAATGTGACTACAATCTGAACAGGGTCACAATCATAGGAGTGAGGAGAGAGACACATACAAACAAAAAGAGTGAGGTTATCTCCTGAAAGGTTCAATTTTTAAATAGAAAACGGTCATGTCATGGAATATGTGGGTATTAAGAAGATAACTGAACTTTCTGTGACTTAAACAAATGTAGAAATTAGAACTGGGCATAGAATATAGAATCTCAAGGAACCTTGATTTTCATGTTAAAAGCAAGCAAGCTACTAGATTCTACAAAAATAGACTTTTAACACTTTGTGACATCTCAGGAGCCATAGGTAAGGCAGTGAAAGGTTTCCAGAAATAAGTGCTCTTAATCTTTCTTTGTCTCTCTTTCGCAAGCCAAATAAAAAAAGAGCAGAGTTGTACAAAATAGGAAAATGTAGTCAGATTTTATCAGTCTGAATGTTTTCACGTTACAGAATCCAGCTTTTCTTACTATAAAAATTGTTTTTCATGCAAAATGCTGAAAATGTTGTCAAAGCATGGACAGTATACAATATGAGGTATATGTTAACTTTTCATGAATAAAATGTATACTAATTGTTTTAACATTTGTATAAAGATCTTACCTGTTTCAATACATCTAAAATAAGTTCATTGAAAACTTCATTAACTGCCATAGATACTGTTTGCCTGTCCATCCCTTTACTAAATCGACCACTTCCAATGAGCTCGATCAATTCCCAGGCAGAAAGACCATCCCAATTGGTCTCCAGGCTGATCTTGTAGTGTTCAAATTGTTCTTGATGCCAGCCTAATCCCATGGCTTCTGTTAATTTCTTAAGCAAGTACTCAATCTGTACAGAAAAAGACACACAGATCCTTAGCAAAAATAATAGCCCCTCAACCAGCTGAACAATGAGATGAGTGCTTCTTCCTATCTATAATCCTGTTGTAATTATTGTGTGTGGGCCATCCAAATACAGCAGCACTGGTCTATATGACCAAAGGTCTATATTTCTGAGTATATTTCTAAGTATGCAAAAATTACCCTAAAGAGGAAAGCCTGTTATGCCATGTCACAAAATTAACAATGCATAAAAACAATTCCAGGGTGACGCTGTTTAACCATGCTAATATGCTACTCTATTCTTCATCTGGGTGAATACACACAAAAGCTTAAAATGATCAAGATGTCCTAAACTGACAAGAGAACCACAAAGAAAAATAAAAAGAGCCCTAGTGTATCAGTCCCAAGGGTCATCTTGTGCCTCCCATGCTGCTTTCACTTCCCATGGTGACCAACCAAGTATCTCTTGGAAACCTACAAGTGGAGTAGATATGTGATAGAACCTCGTGCTTCTGCTCCCCAGCAACTACAGAGACAAATTGTCCTGTCTGTGATACAGCAGCTAAAAATACAACCAATATGACTAGCAGCTATGGGTGGTTGTACTGTATCTTCTGTCAGTTGGTGACTTGATCATAAAGTGCTTAAACAAGGGTCTCTACTGCACAGATGCTGACGTTTATTAAGACTGAGAAAACCCAAACCCCTGAAATTATTCTGGAATAGACCCCTGTCTGTTTGAAGGTAAATTTGCATAGACGAGTGGTATGCCTTCATGATGAAGCTGACTGAAACTGAATGGTTCAATACCTTCTTGCTTAAAGAACAGAAATTACTTTATTGTTCTGTTGTTTTACCAGCTGCACAAGAGGAGCGGCGGTTGGCCTGTTTCCAGCTTGGTCATGGGAAAGCAGGAGTGATACTGACGGAACCATTAGGCTTTAGTGAACCTACTGAGTGGAAGAATTCTGTTCTTCCAATATATATGAATGGATTCTTGAGAAGAGTTTTGGAGGAAAAAAGTTTATGGCGTATGGGTTTCATAGGACCAGGCTGCTACTCAGTGCAGAATATTTTGTTACTAGACGGGTTAGGGTAGTCTGTCAGAAAGTTAGACAGGGAAAAGAGAGATTGGGATTCAAATCCCTACATGGCCATGATATTTACTGGATGCCTTTGGTCCAGCCACCCTCTTCCAGCCTGACCTATCTTGTTGCAGTGAGGACAAACTGGGGTAGGCCATATATACCAGCTTGCGCTCAGTGGAGGGAAAAAAAGATTATAAATGTAATAAATCAATATTCCAATCAAGCATTTGAAAATGTATCTGTGCTGGTCTTGGCTCATCTCTGTATGTTTACATCCTTTCCTGCCCCAGTTAAGTACAATGATCTGTACTGTATTCATATCTGACTTGAGATACATTAATTATTTGGCATATTGACAGGTATTGAAAGGTCAGAATGCACAGATTTTAGGCTCCCATCAGTGGTATTTCTCTTATTCCATTTCAAGACCCAATAGTTATTTTCAGACACACTCTCTCAACTTAAAGGTTGCAGATGATAACAAATTATCTTCTCCTTCTCTCCCAATCTTCCAAATACAGTGGTGCCCCGTATAGCGAGGTTAATCCGTTCCAGATTAACCCTCGCTATACGGAATCATCGCTAAACGGGTAGGGGAAAGGTATTGGAACACATTAAACTTCGTTTAATGCGTTCCAATACCTTCGTTACTTACCCGTTCAGCGAGGATTCCAGGTGCCGGCAGCCATTTCCGGGCTTCCGGTAAGCGAGGGCAGGGCACGAAAACGGCTGCCGGCAGCCATTTCCGGGCTTCCGGCGGCCATTTTGGAACCGCCGATCAGCTGTTCGGCGGCTCCAAAATGGCCGCCGCAATACCCGATCTTCGCAATGCGGGTTTTCCCCATTGCGAAGATCGGGTATGTTTCCGTATAGCGATCCCGAAAAAGGGATCGCTATACGGAAACATCGCTATACGGTGCACTCGTTAAGCGAGGCACCACTGTATGTATTTTTCACCTGTAATAGGAGGCCAAGCAAATGAAATATGGTTCAAACGGATCACCTCAACTGTAACACAGAATCATAGAATTATGGAGTTAGAAAGAGCCTATAAGGCCAGTGAGTCCAACTCCATGCTCAATGGAGGAAGCCAAATCATAGTTTTTCTGACAGATGATTGTCCAGTTTTCTCTTGATTGCCTCCAGCACTGGAGCGCTCACCACCTCCTAAAGTAATTGGTTCCACTGCAGTACTGCTCTAACAGGAAGTTTTTTTCTGATATTTATGGATCCAGTAATCATTAAGTAAGAATAGACACAGTACCATGCGGTACATTTTAAAGCTAAGAACTGGACATGTGCACAGAGACCTCTATCTTTCAAGTTTCCCAGAATTTCTGTACTCAGTACCACATTTTCCCGAAAATTGACAGAGTCTTATATTAATTTTTCCTCCACAAATGCATTAGGGCTGATTTTCAGGGGATGCTTTATTTTACAGTAATGTCATATTCTGTTTGCTGCACAATGGTGGAGAGTGAGGTTTCACTTAACTAGGTCTTATTTTTGGGGTAGGGCTTATATTAAGAGAATCCTGAAAAGTCATACTAGGTCTTATTTTCAGGTTAGGTCTTATTTTCAGGGAAACAGGGTAGCAATGTGTTGGAAAAGCAGCATGAGGAAGCCAACTGCAGTATCACTTCAGAATGCATCACAACAGGAACTGCAGATTATGAGAATGGCCAAGAGCGTAAATTGTGTCTTTGGCTTTTCTCGTTATCAGGACTCTGATGCCTCAGAGAAAGGAGGGGGAACACCGCATTCTCTCTCAAGTATTTCTCAAGAGATTGAAGCAGAATTAGCTCCATGGTCAATGTGAGCAAGGGATCATCGGCACATTTTGTTTATGAAGTAGTGGAAGGCATCTCGAGAAGATATTTTTAAAGGACATTATCTATCTGTAGATAACAAGGAATCCTGTGGCACTTCTAAAACCAACACATTTTAGTCTTAAACTTATATCTTATAGGTGCCACAGGACTCTTTGTTCTTTCTACTGTCTGCAGAATCACAACCTAAAATGTCAAAATAACAATGGCAATTACTGTATCCCAAACACTATCAAACTGGTTGTACATGCCTAATAGGGCCCTTTCCTTCAGGAACAGCAGGTCCACAAGCAAATGTTTTTGAAAATGAGGTGCATTTTAAGAGCTTCAAGTAATACAGCCTCAGGGTGAGATACAACAGGGAGGAAAAATGGCTGCTTCTTTCCTGCCTGAGCTCAAGTAGCTCTCTAGATCATGTTCATTGTTTGTCAAAAACTGGCAATTTAGCAAATAAATGACAGGAGGATTAAATTCTAACATTACTACCAACATCTAAGGGCCTGTCTCACTGTCAGCCCGTCTGGATAGTATGACCTTCAGGAGAGGCCCTCTAAAAAGTACCAATAGTTTTAGAGTTCAGTCTAACAAGTATGTGGGACAGAGCTGGCTCGTCCATGGCTTCCAAACAAGTGGTGGGCACAAGCCAAACTACGAATCGGAAAAAAACATGAATCAGGCTGGTTTGTGGTTCCGTTTGTGCTGCCCATTTTGTTGAAATGAAACGAAGTACGGGACAGTTTTCCGCTCACCTGCCTCACCCGCTTCCCACTGCCTCTGCCACCCTCTCTGGCCAGTCCTGCCTCCTCCTCCTCCGCCACCACCACCACCACCATCTTCAGAGGCAGAGGCCTGGCCTCCCTTCCAGGCAGGGGCATGCGCAGAGACAACAGGTCCGGCTTCTGGAAGGGAAGCCAGGCTGCTGTTTCTGAAGATGGTGGCAGTGGCAGCAGAGGAGGAGGAAGCAGCAGGACCAGGGAGGTGAAGGGGGAGGGTGGGCAGCAGAAGCGGTAGGTTCTTCTCCTCCCAGACACAAACCAGAAAAACAAACCACAAACTGGTTCATTTTTCCAGGGGTTCATGTTTCATTGTTAGCCAGGATTCATTGTTTTTCCAGTTCGTGCTCATTTCTATTCCAGACTATAGTATACACTCAATTTCCAAGTTGCAGTCTGTTTTGGCTTTGACTGATTTTAAGGAGGGAGTAAAACAAATCTTTTTTAGACTGGCATGTGATGTCTAATCTGCCCTGATATGCTGTTTTTAATTTGCTGATTTTTATGGTTTTTAATATATTTGCTTCATCTTAATCATTTTTTGATGGGACTGGTTTATGTTTTATGACTGTTAGCTAAACATGTTTTCATCTGTTTTTATTAATTTTAAAAGTTCGTAATCTACCCTGAGTGCCATTTTTTAATGTAAAGACATACATATAATAAAATGAAATGAATAGGACAACATTGCTACTCAGAACCTTTTCTGCAACCATTTCAACAGAAGAGAAAGAAAAACACAGTTAGCTTGGACAGTGTTGGAGAAATATTTAGACACTTGAAATAATGACATCCTACCTCTTCTGGTACGATGACTAGTGGATATTTGTCTTCAGAAAGAAAATTGAAGATAACCCACAATTTAAAAGCATCATCATCAGTAAGGAGCAAGATATTTCTTGGAAGGTTCTTCTTGGCACATAGAGTCCAACACATTTTATTAAATTCAATTTTGTCAAAGTTTCCTTGGACCTAGTCAAAGCAAAGCAGTGTCACTGATTTATAAAGATATACAGTGGAGAATGACACAACAGCAACAGAAGTGCCATTCTGACACCTGTAGAAATAAAACAATTTTCACAAGAAATCTCAAGCTAAACACCAAGTTTACTTTGGTGACCTCCTCAGAGTACATGTAGCCTAGTCTGAACTACCCTATGTTTAAAATTGGGCAGAACACATATGAGGCAACAGTATAACTCGCTCAAAGGAGAACAGATATGATATTGCTGGCTGTCAGCGTTTCAGGCTGCATGGACAAGACTCATAAGGGTAATTTGTGCAAAATTATTGATACAATAATAACACAACAATGACTATTGTTGCTTCTCTTTCATATCTAAAACTAGGCTGAGTTAATATGTAGAACCATCTGTCATTCAATGTTCAATATGATCCTCTAACAACCGCTAGCTAAAACACTGAGCTGTCAGGATATCTTTTGATTTAGCACAGCTTATTCTTAACTAGGGATATCAGCAATTCTGTGTTACAATAGTGTTGCTGCTTTTTGTTGAATGGCCAGCCTGGGCATTTTTCCATGGTCCCTTGGTTCAACAATGTAGACTCTGTTAAAGGGTAACTCACTCTCCCCACTAGCTGAGCTAAATAAATGATTCATTTGCAATCAGGAGCACAAGAGGAAGTATTCTGAGAGTTGGACTGGCTTGATCTACCAGATTTACATGGGGGGGGGATCTGAAGCAGGATAGCAGGCTTCCTGGTAAGCCCAGAGGTCATTGTTTTTCCTGCATAGATTGTTACTATTGCTCACAGGAAAAAAAAACTAGAGTAATCTGTGAAAGGGCACTAGTTGGGAAAAGAACAGGGTAATGCGCTAAATACAGTGAGACAAAGCGTCACGTTTTCAACCAAAAACAAAACCAAGTAGAAAATATTTACTTTCTCCTCCCCCTCACCACATATAAATGCCTGCATTCACTGAATCAGGATAACTACCCTTATTTACCCACTATAAAGATATGTGATTAAGATGTATTATCCAAAGACAGTAATATCATTAATTAATAAAAGATGGTTTTCAGATACAGTATATACTTAATTCCTCAAGGCATTTCCATTCAAATCAATCACCAGAAACAGGCTCACCCAAGTGTTACAACTCCATGCCTTGTCTGTCTGAGATTTATTCCTAGCACCATGGGTTATAGGTGATCTTTCAAAGCAAAGTGGGAAAATTTTTCATCCAAAATATGAGAGAAGGTGTAAAATGAGTCAGAGCTCTGAGGCACACAGAAGGTACCAGGGTTTGAGTTTCTACACAACACTTGCATGCATAACTGCAAGTACTTAGGGTTAGGCAACTGTTACAATATAAGATAGCATGCGAAATAATTTTATGTATAAAAAGATACGGGTGGGTGCATTTTGGTTGGGACAGTCTCAATAATCAAACGCTGCTACTAACCTCACCAAGCATGGAAATGTACAGAAACACAGATGGCACAGTATGAGCATTCCGTGTATCTGAGGAAGTAGATTTTGAGCCACAAAAGCTCACACTGAAACAAAGTTGTTAGTGTATTCGCGAAGGCTTTCACGGCCAGGATCTAATGGTTGTTGTGGGTTTTTCGAGCTCTTAGGCCATGTTCTGAAGGTTGTTCTTCCTAATGTTTCGCCAGTCTCTGTGGCTGGCATCTTCAGATGTGCTGTCCTCTGAAGATGTTAGTCTTTCAGACAGCACAATATTTTCTTCTTTTTTTTAACCCCCCACCCCACCCATTTTGTTAACATCTTGATGTTCCACTTTCTTTAGATAAAGGACTCCTGTTGGCAACAAAAAAAAAATACCTTGTCTCTTTAGGGTATTTGCAGCATGTTCGATTGAGTGAGTGAGTTTTAAACTTTCCTTTCCTGTGCATTCTGGTTTCAATACAAATCCATTTCTACATCGTTTAGTAATGTGGTGTAATTACTTCGTTGCATACTACATATTTAACATAACATGCAGCTTAACCCTCAGACTTCTATCAGTCATAGTAAATACCAGCTAGACAAATCAGTGTCTGGGCTTTGCATAAAAGGCAGCTTTGTTGTTTCAGTCACCCTTGTGCAGGGTGGGAAAACCAGTCAGTTTCCACAATGTGCACCTGAGAGATGGCTGGCACCGTCATCTGACAGTATGGGAAGGGAAAGGAGGAGGTGTGAAATGACATTACCATTTCTCCTCTCTTCCTTAATAGAAGAACCCAATGTTAATCATCAGTTCAGCATGCTCTCACTAAGTTTCAGAAAAACCAGAAAACCAGTCAAGCACAACAAATAAAAAGAAACAGAGTGCAGGGTTTCTAAAATAGACAATGCAGTCAGTTTGAATTATAAGTATAGAACAAGGAAGGATGTTAAAAGTGGCCTTTTTCCACTTATAAACTCGTCTTTGCTGAGAAGACAATGACAGTGTCATTAAACTGTAAATAACTTATTTGCATCTTACCCTCTGAAATTTGTCACCATATATGCACACTGTGGGGGTCTAGGGAACATTATTGCTCTCTCATGACCAGCTCAACTTCAAGCTATCACAGAAACAGCAATCAAGGTTCTGGCTGTGTTCGCAGGTCTGAGAACCCTGTTTGTCCAACTGCTGAGAGCTACTACATAGTTAAAATTAACTACAGTACAGCATTTTTGCAAGTGGTGGGCCACATGGACAGCAAAATCTATTATAACTGCTCAAGAGAGATTCTTGATGCATTACTACTAAATCTGACATTTGGCTTTGTTGGGAAAACGGGCACACTAATTTAACTTTTTAAAGGAAGAGAAAAATATCTAACCCTTTCCCACCCTGTCTTGTATTCCACCATGAGTCACACTGGTGAAAGTCAAGTTAGACTTCAATGCACCATTAATTCTGCAAGACCCCTCTGCATTTGTGATGTGACACTGGAAGTTCTAAATCCCAGATCCTTTTTAATACTCTATTATTGAAACACTTTCTCTTTTTAAGTACAGTGGTGCCTCGTATAACGAGTGCCCCGTTTAACGACGAATTCGCATAGCGATGGCAAAAATGCCATCGCTTTTGCGATCGTATAACGAAGGTGCCTATGGGGAAAAATCGCTTTGCGATGTTTTCCCCATAGGCACCATTTTCCCCCAGCTGAGCAGCGGGAGCCTCCAAAGGAGCGCTCCCGCAGCTCAGCTGGGGGAAATGCCTGCGGTGGCCTCGGAAGGACCCTTCTGAAGGGTCCTTCAGAGGCCACCGCTGGGATTCCCCTTCTCCGCGGTCGGCTTCCCCGGCCATGGTCGGACTGTCAGGAGTCGACCATGCCTGGGGTAGTCGGCTGCGGGTGGGATCCAAGCCGTGGGGGGTGGTGGTGGAAGGCATGGCCGGGCTCTTCGGCAACCCCTCCCGAGCGAACGCCGGGTTTTCAGCTGGCTAAGAGGCCGGCGATCAGGCAGGAGGTGGTGGGGGAATCTTCCCACCTCCTCCTGCCCGATCGCCGGCCTCTTAGCCGGCTGAAGTCCAGCTATGCCTCCGATCCTCTCCCCACGGCTTGGATCCCAGCCGTGGGGGGAGGGTTGGAATCATAGCCGGACTTCAGTCAGCTAAGAGGCCAGCGATCGGGCAGGAGGAGGTGGGAAGTTTCCCCCAACCCCTCCTGAGCGAACGCCGGGTTTTCAGCCGGCTGACAGGCCGCCTATGCTTCCGACCCCCCCCCCACGACTTGGATCCGAGCCGCGGGGGGAGGGTGGTGGGATCCGGACGCCTTTCAGGCATCCTGGGCTTG